GGCGGGCGCGCGCGCGTGCGCGCGTGTGGCTGAAAACAACACCAACACTTGGTGCATAGCTTTGTGCTTGTTGTAACCTCTCCAACTCTCTTTATTATAATAAAGAGAGTTAAACTTATTTGAAAGTCCAATGTGGGATTGACTCTTGACCCTTCAAATCCCACAACCAATGTTTTACGTGCCCTTTTATGGCTACCTTTAACAATTTATTTCTCACTCACTGAAAATCAGTTTTGAGAAAATAAATATACCATGAGTATCTACTCGGAACGTTGAATTTTTCTACAATATTTAATTCAACTCAAATTAAATATTTAGCCATCAAAAATTCAGTCAAAATCGGGTCAAACCCATATTTTATAACTGATTTTTCCAACAGAGCAATATGCAATGTTGTGGTCATATGCTAAGAAAATCATGAGGTCAAACCCTGACAGTACTGTGAAATTAAGAGCACCTTGGTGGATGGTAAGCCAGTCTTCAAGAGAATGTATATTTGCTGGGGGGCTTTGAAAAGGGGTCTTAGAGAAGGTTGCAGACCTGTTATTTGTTTAGATGGTTGTCACCTAAAAACATCTTGTGGTGGGATCTTGCTAACAGCAGTAGGCATAGATGGAAATAATTGCATGTACCCATTTGCATATGTAGTGGTGGAACAAGAAAATAAGAACTCATGGAATTGGTTTGTGGAATTATTGAAAACAGACCTATGTATTCAGAACAACCATAGTTGGACTATCATGTCTGATAAACAAAAAGGTTTGATTGATGCTATTGAAGCTCTCATGCCTGGTTGTGAGCATAGGTTTTGTGTGCAACACATGTATAATAATTGATCTCTTGAAATACGTTTTCTTTCCGTTTTCTGTTCTTCTTTAAACGATGTCGGTGAGTGAGTTTTTATGAAAAAATTCAAAGCTTCTTTTAGAGGTCTTGCACTGAAAAATATCTTGTGGGGAGCTGCTAGGTCTACAAGAATTGTTGACTTCAATTTTGCCATGTCTGAACTGCAAAATAGAGAGAAAGAAGTCTTTGACTGGTTAGTGAAAAGACCTGCAGCCCAGTGGTCAAGGTCACATTTCAGTTTTCAAGCCAAAACTGATATTCTGTTGAACAATCTCAGTGAGAGCTTCAACTCTTTGATCTTAAGAGCTAGAAGTAGTCCTAGAGTTCATATGCTTGAAACAATAAGGATGATACTCATGAAAAGAACCTATATGAGGAGGGATCAAATGATGAAGTATGATGGAGTGATATGTCCAAAGATAATGAAGTTGCTTGAAGAACTCAAAAAGAGGTCCATGGAGTGCATAGCAAATTGGAATGTGATGCATGAGTTTGAGGTGGATGGGCCCTATGGCAGTAAGTTTAGAGTTCATTTGGGAGAAAGGACATGTTCATGTAGAAAGTGGGAGCTGACAGGAATACCATGTGAGCATGCAATCAGTGGCTTATTCTTTTTGGGACATGATCCAGAAGAATATGTGGACAGTTGGTATAAAAAAGAGACTTTTCTAAAGGCATACTCAAGTATGATGGGGGCATTGAATTCACCTGATGAGTGGCCAAAGGTTGATGTGCAGCCCTTGCAGCCTCCATTACAGTCTAAAATGCCTGGAAGACCAAAAAAGTACAACAGGAAAAGGGGTCCAGATGAGGTTCAAGAGAAGGGAAAACAAAAGAAGAAAGTTGAAGTTAAGCTTAGCAAAAAAGGGACCACTTTGAAATGTTCCCTTTGTCACAAAGAGAACCATAACATGAGGGGCTGCCCATTCAAAAAGGAAGACAACCCACATACAGTTGAGGCAAACAATAAGGTTAATTTACTTATAATTTTTGTATAGTATATACTGATTTATTTATCTTACTTTATATGTGTTCAGTGTCTTATATACAATATTTATTGTAGGCAAAGAAAATGAAGACAAGTCGGAAGACAAGTGATGGCAATTGTAGACAATCTCAAGAGTCTGTTGTCTATCATGCACAAGGTTCACAATCATCAGACTTACAGGTAATCATCAGACCTACAGACAATCTCTATAATGATACTTTTAAATTGTATATTTCATAATCTATGATTTGCCTTGCAGTTGAGTGTACCTATGACAAGAAGCAGGACAGAGGTAACACAGTCAAGTGTACCTGTGACAAGAAGTCAGACAGTTGAGACACAAAAAACCAACAAAACACTTGGATTAAACAAGAAAAAACTTCAGGTAAAGAAGCCAACTGTTGGCATACTATCTTTAGGTGAAAAACTTGGATTTCAATGCTATTTTCATTACTTAATCTTCCTGCATGGATTTATTTTTGTTTAACTATTGGCATACTATCTTTAGGTAAAGAAGCCAACTGTTGGACAAGTCAACAACCAAAAGAAAACACTTTGGAAGCCACCTGGGGTATTTCAAGGAGCTACTTTTTCCACTCAAAAAGGAAGATCCTCTGTTAATCAAAATGTGGATGGGAAAAAAAAAGTAAAAGCTGATGTGGTGTTCTGTTTTATTGATGATAGTGTTCTGATTGTGAAGTATGTTGTTCTGGGATGATGATGTTTTGTGATGATGATGTTTTGGGATGATGATGTTTTGGGATGATGGTGTTTTGTTTAAGTAATGTAATGAACTTTCTTTTTGGATGGATATTAATGTTCAATGCAATCATAATGTTTTGAGGTCTTGTATTTAGTAAGTTACTATTTTGCATTCATTTTTATTGGTCTTGTATGTATGTTTTCACAATTCTACTAAACCAAGAATTGAAGTCTTGCATATGTATTTGGTTAGTCTTAGTAACAGTACATATATATTGAACAATATGAACATCATCCAAAAGCACAATCCAAAAGCACAAATCATTACATTCAACACAATGATTCTAAACACAAAAATCAATCCACACTACATTGCATAAAGCAATCCATTACATTAAACACAATGATTCTAAACCAAGAATTCAATACACATTACATTGCATATCCAAAAGCAATCCATTACATTAAACACAATGATTCTAACCAAGAATTCACTACAAATTACATTGCATATCCAACCACAAGTCATCACATTGGACACAATGCTTCTGAACATAGTGTCCCAAATCACTACACTAACCAATAAATTACAATCCATGAAATAATAAGCATCACAAACAAACATTGCTCCCTAGATCTTCTTTTTTTCATATTCTCCTCAAGTTTTTCAATCTTTGCTAATAGTTTTTTCTGCTCCTTTTCCTGGTCATCAAGATCAGCTTGGAGCATTTGAACCTCATCTTCGAATTTATTTGCTCGCCTTAGTAGCCCGGGAATTATTTGGCAAGCTCTTTCACACAATGGATTTTCAATCCATGCGAAATACAGACAACCCCCCTCTTTCTGCATTTAAACGATTTTTTTGATATCAGAATGTAAAATTAAGCATGTTCAACCAAAATACATATATACAGGCCCTTCTCTGAATACATAAAGCCCGACCCTCTGAATGGCTCGCCACATGATTAATACATACAATTTTACCCTTCTCTGACACATTGCTTAAGCATGTTCAACAAAAATTCATACCATAATGCCACATTTGAACTGAAAATTCGTGATTCAAAATCGAAGAACATACCCAGTATTTTGCACACGAAACATATCTTCTTCCAGGATTATGGTCAGTCCATGACGTCCTCGTGACCACATTTTTTCTGCAACGGCAAAATCTTTCGACGATATGCTCAGCTGTTTGCCTCCACTCCATTTGAAGAACTTAGGGTTAGGGTTCTTGTCAATTGGGGGAAAAATTGGGAAAAAAATCGATTTTTGGATTCAGAAGGAGAGAGTGATATTTATAGACCGAAATATAAAGTAAGATTACAATTTTGCCCTTACAAAAGTTGCCAGCTCCGCCACTTAAGGAGTTTTCCGGCCAATTTCGGTGGCTGAGGTTGCACAGTATCAAAATCGCATAGTTCGGGTTGCATTTTATAAAAATTAAAAGATTAGGTTGCAAAGCCAAAAAAGCGCGAAAGTTCAGGTTGGTCTAAATTTTTTTCCCTTTTTTTGTCAATTGGGTGGTATCATCACATTCAATTCGGGGTCTCACCACGAACTCTTAAGCCACTCGCTGAGCCCTACCATTGGGGTGTGGGTCTATCCAAGTTCGTGGCCCTAACAGACTATCAAAGGGTGGGACTAATCCACCCAGGAAAGTAGCAGTGCTCCATTCACTACTCCCACGATAGTTAGGATCGAACATCTGACCTCTTGCATCAACAAGGCTTTACCTCTCCTCCATCAGCCAGTTGCCCTCACGCCCTGGGGGCAATAAATAATCTTTTAAACTTGTGGACTAGCACCCAACTTGTAATCCTCATGCGAGCTTTCCTCCTAAAGTCGGGAAATTTTGTGGACCAAATTTATGTTACTCTGTCTTTCCCCCTCAAGAGCGACTTGGTGAGCTAGCTCAGCTCTATCGGATGCCTCTAAATCACTTTAACTCTAACTCTATTCGGTACATGACTTGATTATGTATTATGAGTTGTGGCATCTTTCACGCTCTTGGCCCTTACTTTTTCATCTACTTCTTCTGGCTGAAACCTCAAAATGGGGGTCATTCTACCTTTCTCGTTGGGATAATGTTCGCTTTCAAACCAACCTCGTCTCCATCGTCTCGAACTGGAAAATCTAGGTACTTCTTATTCAGGCTCCTCCAAACACCTTTGATTTCTCTACTAAATGGATTCTTGAAAAGTCAGACCAACACAAATCACTCAAGCCCAATAAAACCTACCAAGATCTCATCACAGAGTGGAACAAAACACCATTCGACGTCAACCTTTTCACTGATGATCTGCAATTGTGGTCGTATTGCGGCCTGTCCACGTTGCAGTGCATGCCCCTTACTAGCCTATGTAGAATTCGACCTCAGAGGTCCTTTCTACGCTTGCTAATTTTCTTAATTTAGAATTTATTCATACTTGTACTTCTTTTTTTTCCCCTCAGATTCTCTAACTGCCTCTATGCGATTTGGCTCATCCTACTCGATCAAGCGAGATGGCTGGAGGCCGTCGTCGAGGAGAAGTAACCTTTTTCTGCCCAACTGGCCTCCTCCATCGAACATCCTCTTGTGCCACCATTCCAGGACCCTGGGCAGGTCGAGTCCTCGAAGAATCAAACCCGAACGAAAAAAAAAAGTAGAAGATGTCCATGTTTTTTTATGCGGGAATTATTTTACCGTAGGTTTTTGATGTGGCAATTAGGTTTTTTCGTCAATTTAGGGAGAGAGCTTCAACGAAGACGTGAGTCCGTGATAAAGAAGAGGATATATTGTGAGTGTATTTTTGTACATGTAAAAGTAAAACAATGATAGATTACACATCCCACATAAGAGGTGGGATACATAATACTGAGAGAAGTTAATACTTAATCGGGACATGACTTATTTCAAGAGCTAAATTTATTGGAACAAAAAATGTTATTATGATGAATATGTTATGAAATGCTATGATATCATGCAGATTCCATCCAACTAAACGGACCCTAGGTAAAAGTAAAATTTGATCACTCTTTTTATATAAATGGTGTCTTACTATCAAAGTAGAGTAAAAAAATCTTGTCATATTTTCTTTCTTAACTTAACTTAACTTAACTTAATACGTCTTTAAGGTCTTTCGACTCCTTAGCGAGGTACACTTTCCCTCCTTAGTAGGATTATGTCCCCTCCAATAATATAACTCTTAGGTCCTTAGGTTGTTCTAACGACTTCTCAACCCAGCAAACGTAGATCTTACTAGGTCGAAAGTTCAGCCATTATTTATATGTGATGATTTTTATACTGAAAGTGTTATTTCTTTGAACTTATTTTTGGTCTGAATAAAAGAATAATGTCTAGTCAATTGTTGTGCAATTTACTTTATGTATGGATTTGCCTTTTTTTTTTCCTGTTGTTCAAATTGAAGATAATAAGTCCCTCTTGTCGTTGCACAAATAGTCATCAATGGACAAACCTATCGATATGATTATAGTTAAATTTGAGTTAGTGTATCTTAACTTAATAAGTGACTTGTATAGCGTCCCAATAAATCAGTTTTTCCCAAATGCTCTATGTATCATGATAGCCTTTATCGTTGTGTCTCGTATAGTCATCCATTTTTTCTTAGCCGAATTTTTCCACTATTGCTATAGTTACCGACTTCAAAAGGGGGCCCACTGCTTGATTCGCCGTGTTGGCGTTACCTTCCTCGATGACCTTTCCTTGAACATTTCGGAATGGAAGTCGAAATTTGTGTTTATTCGTCCCCCCGTCGGTGTTTATCCCTATGTAAATAATTGGATAAGCATGAAAGTTAAACAAAAGAAACGATCTTGTTCTGAGAGGTTCGAAAGGCTCTTAGAAGAGCTGAATAAGCATACTTATAGTGCTCGTCGTATAATAAGAGATCGTGAATTGGTCAATCACGCTCGAATCGTTCTGTATGATGATATTTCTCGACCCGATGATCCTCGTAAGCCGTTTAACATTTCTTACGATTTCGAGTTTTGCTTCCTATTTTCCTTCAATCTTCGCTTGATTATTTGTTTTTTGTTTCAGTCAAAGCACTCAAGCGCTTCGAGGTGAAAAGAAACAGCCGACCGGGCAGTTGGCCGGCGGATCTGCTCCTCTCCCACCCGGTGGGTCCGGAACGAAGTCGGCTACTGCGGCCAAACGACCTAAATCTTCGGGTCCCGGTGCCCGCAAGAGGCCCCAAGACGATCGGACCCCTACCCTGCTTCCCGACGACCTTAAGCGCTATAAGGTCGATAAGGGAAAGGAGAAGGTAGTTGAGGGGCGTGCTGCCTCTACCGTCACTTATAAAGATGTGATGGTCAAGATGCCGTGTCAGCTCTGGAATCATCCAGAGCTACATAAGGTGGCCAGATACCTCAATTCTCTGCACCCCGAGGCCGACAAGGCCCGCGTCGAGGGGAACGACTATGAGCGCTCCTGCTACGCTACACAGTGCCTTACTCGGGTATGTGCCTCTCGCTCGAGTTTAGCGTTCATGTTTATATATTTTTGTATTATTCGCTCATTCTCTTTTCTTGTGTAGTTCCTAGCGGCTATACTTCCTGGTCTCGAGGCAGGAACTAAGGCCCCTTCCTCCTCCACTAAGGCCCTTGAACATAAGTGCGAGGCTCAGCGTAAGCAAGTTGAGAAGATGAAGGAGGAATTAGAGGCCTCGAAAGCTCTTGTCGACAAGCTAAAGGCCGATAAGGCTGTGGCTCGTCATGAGAACGAAAAGCTTAAGGCTGATCTCGAGAAGGCTCGGGAGGACCTCGTGTTCGAGAAGGACCTCGGCACCGTGCAGGGTCGGAAATCATTTTTTAAGTCCGCTGTGGGCGCCCTCTTTGTCAAGACCTATCGCAAAGAGGTTTTTGAGGCGTTCTGCAATTCGCCCGAATTTTTTGACAAACTTTGCCCTGCCGCCGTTCAGTATTTCGACCATACCTTCGACGCGTGGGGAGCGGTGGTGGCAGGGTCTGTGTTTTCCGGGAAGCTTGACCGCGAGGCGATGAGGGCAACGC